TGCAGACCGAATTCTATCAGTCACGTTTGAAATGTGGCCACCATTCTAGGTGGCTCGCTATCACGGTGTACTGTGAATTGTTGGTATTAGATGGTTGGAGGTAATCGGCAGGAAGCTTGGCTTGACCTAGGTTTCGTGTTAGTTGACGCTCGTCAGTAAGGCATATATGCAACCTCGAAGGAACGCCTAGCTGACAATTACCATGTCATATCAATAATAGACCAAATTTACCAGAAAATAAAAAATAAATCACATGACAAGAAAGTTCAAATTCCAGGTCACTAAAAATGATCGATACGGATGTAGATTAACAAGCAATCATGACAATGATTGTTAAGAGATACAGTTAAATCCTTCACAGATAGAATTCAAACAAGTTCACTTTATATTAAAGCTCGCGCTGAAGATGTTGTCTAGTTGAAAAGTTAAAACTTCGCAATTAAATCAACCGGCTCAAAGAACAAAAACCAAATCAAAATCATCCACCTGAGCTACAAATCTTCTCTATTATTTAAAAACTGATCTAACAAATTAGTAAACATTTCAATGAAGATATAAATATTCTAAATACTCTGGGGAATTAATTCCATTAAAGTTTCCTGGTTGATGTTATTGTTTAGAGTCATTATTTTCTTCTGCCTTAATTGCTAATTTACTTGATATTATCGGTTGAAAGTTAAAATGAATTAAATTTTATCTTCTACTCCATTTGTCTGTTTTTTCTCTAGAATAATCACATGTTTATGCGTGAGCATATACCTATATATCTACATAGATATAGTAGATAAATATCTTATGAAATTGAAATTGAGGATGGACTTCCCACTGATAATATTGGTTGGTGGTCGTGCAAAAATCACAAATTGGTAGAAGTTAGAATTCATGGACTGACCACTGAATCGGGTCTCAGTGACTGAGTGGTATATTAGCTTACCTTGTAATTGGGAGGTCCTGGATTTGAACCTTGGTGGTGGGTGCGTACTGCCAATGATCCTCAAAACTAAGATGGAACAGCCATCCAGTAGTCCCTGATGGTTTCAATGGTTCTCTAACTGATATCAATCCGTCGTCAAACTGTAAAAAACAAATCTAATCCTTACAAATCAACTCTTGGGAATTGAGAATATCGTATTTTGAATAACAAATGCACACCATTGACTTTTGTCATGATCCACTTTGTAAATTAAATTAACTGAACTATCAGTCTAGAACTTTACACGATGTGGATTAGATCAGGTTGCTAAACTTCAGAAAAGTGACCTGTAACTATGAATTGAAAGAGGAGATTTTAATTGATTAAGTATGCCCATAATAAATTTCAATCAACTGAGTTTAATGAACAGGGAATATTCTCTTCAATAATTTCTTCAACAGGCCATACAGTTATGTACACACAATAGTTAAGGAATTGTTTTTATGAATGTTATTCATGTTTTAAACGACATCATATCAATAAGATTGATAAATGACAGTTCAAAGCCGTCTTTAAGTGATAATATGCATCAACATAACACTAAATTGAATTAATTAAGCAAATTAAGTAAAAGAAGAATATAAAGTTTATGAATTTATAGGACTTATTTCTTGTATACACAAGTTGCATTCAGTGGCCTCCACATTTTGGAGTTTTCAGAATCTCTAGGCGTTCGATAATTTTTAGGGTACCCAATAGATGGTAGAAAAGGATTCTTTGGCGCTAGTATTATGACATTTTTTAACCAGGTGGTGCAATATCGAAGTGTCAATGGTCTTTACTACACATTTACTTAGCAGTAGTGGTAGATGGTCCCAAGCACGAAAAAACTAAATTCCTAGAACAACTACCAATATAACTGAATATATAAATGTTCAATTAGATGAAGAAGTTATCGAAAAGAATATTCTTTGCTCACTAATCAGTCTTTTAAGGAATAAAGAACTTCACATATAATTTAAGCCATTATGGGCTCCTATTACTTCAGTAACCTACACGAAATCTACTGAAATATATTAGGAAGCCATGACATATTGAGAAGACTGCAACATATTAATATGAGTATAATTCGACAAAGTTTATAATTCAATGCACAGTTTATGTAAATAATTATCAGTAATTTAATAATTCCCATTGTAGCATTCAGAACACAATTATATTGACAGTAAAATGAAAGATAAGCAGTCCAAACTGGTCACCGACTCATTTCCAAAGAAACCCTTATTCATGAACTTGAAATTCAAAGGTGATCAAGCTTCAGATGTTCTCAAAAACCACCTTTCTAAAGTAGTCAGTAATACATTCTTTGCAGCAAAATTACAAATGACGTTCACCAGCAGCAAGTTGTTCTCTACAAAAGATAAGCCGCCGCGTCAGGCCGCCTCCATGTGCATCTATCAGTTCACCTGCTCTTGTGGAGCAAGGTACATTGGCCGTAGCCAGATGATGCTTTCCACACGGATACGAGAACATATTCCAGCTGCATGGTTTTACAAGGGAGAAATGAAATGTGTGCAAAGCTGTATTCTAGAACACCTGATCAACTCCTGTCACTCTGCTAACTCTGACCATGATTTTAAGATCATCTATCGAATCCATGCTGACTTCCCGCGTTTTCTCCATTACAGACTTCTAAAGTCATCCGAGGCCTTGACCATTCATGACTTTAAGCCAGACGTTTGTGTACAAAAGAAGTAGTACAGCTCCTACCTCTGCCTTGACCGTAAAAGGATAAACATTTATTTGTTTATTTATTTTGTTTATTTAGTTTCCTTTTCCAGTATTACCAAGATTATTACTACTATTCTCACTCTGAATTGTTTCCGCTTGTCCCAATTGTCATTCTAAATCCAAAAGGTTTTTACAATATTGAATTATATATATATATATAAATATATATTAGCCTACAAATCCTATAATTATGCACCTTTTTCCAGCATCTATACACCTTGTGAATTATTCTGTATATGACATTAATTGTTTTGCTACTTGACATCTAACTATGATTACAATCACAAATATTTTAATTGCATTTCATACCATTATTATTATTTTATTCATTCACACCTTCACTGGATTTAATTTCTTAAAAACTATATATATACGATTGTACAGCTTGATAATAAATTCGTTGAAAAGAGTCTCTTCGCTGAATATGGCGTTCTTAAATGAATATCAGTCATTATTTAGGTTGACCATTAAGTTAAAGCAATGAAAATAATTTTCAGACCTGTTACCTGTGGACATCATCTTAAAGTTAGACAATCAGAAAATAAATTATTAAATTATTAAAACAAAGTCTTCTAGTGAATAAGCAGTTTTACCAAGCTCAATTAAACAGTTTTCTGTCTCAAATACTAGTTGTTCCACTGAGCGATATATATACTGAAATTTCAGAGAAACTGTAGGGTCTACTCACTTCCAAAAAGCAAGGAGATACATCATACACAGCAATCTTTTCATTGACTTTCAACAATTAACACCTAAGGATGCAAGCGTTTACTGCCGATAGTTTGTGAGTATAAAGGGATCTAGAAGAAAAAGAAAGCACCCTATACGGTTATATATCCATCTAAGTGTATATCCTAACAATAGTACATCAACTAACAAAAAATCAGTTTCATCAAACATTTATTCCTTTTTATGAATTTGAATAAATCAAGAATAACAGTTAATATAAGTATAAAACTTAGGCACTGTGGTAGAGTATAACTCCATTATGGATAAAATTTTATTTTGATAGTCACAGTGTTATACAGTAATATTTACAGTTTGTGCAGAGTAATATGGTACCATCACTTATGTCACTGGCCTAAAGAAATTATTAAGTTTATGTACAGAACAACTCTAACATACTTCCATAATGGAGTTTCAAATTTTACATTATGTCAGTTGACAGGAAGTCCTAAACTTTATAAAAAGTGCTCATAAAACCGCAGTGATTTAGTATTTACCCAGAGAGTTCAAGTTTAATCAAAGTAAATTTATGCATACAGTTGTAAGAGAGTTGCGTAATAAAGATGGGAGGTGCGTCAGATGACGAGTAACTAATAAATTGGGTAAAGATGTGCTCACCACAGAAATAAGAGACAATCCAAATTATACTGTGTCGAAGGTGTGAAGTTAAAGCCAGAAATTATGTTATCAAATGAAAGAGAGGATAATGACATCCAGTTACCAGGGAAAGAAAGACTGATAACTGCTTCTTTCAGAACACATAAATCGGATTTCAGGAGATTAAAAGAGAATTTCTCGTAGCCAACTTTTTCCAGATTCATTTTATTTAGTAGATCTCAATATTATGCACGACTGTCACATCTTTCGATAACCATTCAGCAGCTGATAATTACTATTATTCCTAGTGGAAGATAAGGCTTCGGCAACACAGCACCATTTCACTCTGTTCCGTCCATGACTACTCAAACGTTTTCAGCTCCTCCTGTTATGATCTCCTCCATGTCACAGTTGGCTGCACGCAGAAGCCGTCGTTTCGCGTTAGGTTCCCTCTCGAGGGCTGGGGATGTGATATTAATCAGCGGCCACCTCACTGAGCGCCTAATCCATCTCCACTCCCTCCAATATATTTGTTGGGCGATAGGCTCCCGATTGGTCCGTTGCCAGAGTCTTTTGTTGCCTATCCTTTCTGGCTGTTTAGTCTTCACCATGGAATGAAGGCAGCTATTGATAAGGGTATGCAGCCCCTTTGAATTCCTTTTCTTGACTCATGAAGTCTCTAAAGCATATGGAAGCACTGACTTGACACTAGTGTCGAAGATCCGAATTATGTTTCTTACACTGACTGTAGCTGATGAGTCTTAGCTGAAGTAAACATGGAAACAAATAGGCTTTTTTCCTTATGACCTGCGAAAGCCGGTAGACAACAAACGCCTAACATAAAAATAGATTTGTTAGGATAGTGAAGCTAGCAAGTGAAGGATTTTGTAAAAAAAAAAGCTCCAGTATGACTTACCTATGCTAATATCTATTAGTTTACTATATATGAAAACGCTAAAAATACAAACTTTACCTAGGAGGGAGGAATGCACAAATTAATTTCCAAACAAAGGTAACAGCATGCACCATGTATTGAGCAACTGTCGACGGTATTTGATCTCCATTTTCATTATAGTTTGGAAGTAAACAAACAGCCCTTTAATAAAACAAATTAAAAGTTGCATTGATATAATTTCTCACCATCTGCCTGATTTAATGTGGTAAGCGTCTTTTTGTATACAAATGCTCCTATTTCGTACAAGAAATAATATTTCTTAGAGAACTGTTGAAAACCAAGGAATACTCGACAGATGTTCTGTCCTACTCCGGGATTCTTCAGCAGTACTAACTCATGACTCCACCGAGGGCTGAACTGAAGATCTTCACGTCACGAGGTGAGTTAGTTGACCGTGCAGTCAATGGGACGGAATTTAATCGCCTACCAATTCTAACTTCTTTTCAGTGCTCCTGGGTTTTCAATCGTTCTCTAATTGAAATCTGTCCGTGATCCAGCCTGAAACGCTTTTATATTTTACGTTGTTTTACCTAATATTATCTAACTGTCAGTGTCTAGCAACAAATTCTAAGGTGGGTAGATAATACTACCTCGATCTATCGGATAAATCTACTGCTCCTAAGTCAATATATTACTCAAAGATATAACAAATTTATTAGGATATTCATTATGTGAATAATACAATGTTTCACTTGTTGTGACTCAGTAAAAACTTAGAAACATTTTTATCATCGCTTCATTCTCAGAAATGAGAAAATATACAACAGTTTAATGACATAATTCTATTTTGTGAGAAACTTATTATTTCAGGAATGTCAAATATGACAAAGTTCAACAGACGCAGAAATATTGAATGACATAGTATTTTGTGGTAACACATGATCTTTTTTCTTACAAGAATTCCCTTTCATAAATTTGAGCAAAGAAAGAATAAACATTGGTGTAGAATAACATGGATCCATTTCATTTCGTTCTCACTGGTTCTTATCAGCTTCATACAACCTATAATCTTTAATAAATAAAAGTCAGAGTAAAGTCTAACATACTTTGTTCATCAACAAGCATATTATAAGTGTCATGATGAGGTAAAGGAAGGAAGGTTCTAGAAAATTAACTGATAAGTTTGTTGTTAGGGTGGCAACAAAAATTGGTAAGAGTTACATAGATAAGAGGAGATCAAAATTTAGTGTGCAAGAGGCTAGATGAAAAGGCGATGATGTTATACGGTGAGTAGAACTCATAATGTCTTCTAACCTCATTAACTTATCTTTTCAAGTCTTCCTTGCCTCGTTTCAGTTGTTTGAATTCCATAAGAGATAATTTTACTTAACATTATGAGCCCTACTCGCCATATAACATCACTTGCACACCAAATTTTTATCTTCTCTTACCTAAATATGTAACTCCTACTAATTTTTGTTTGTGCATTGGTGGTATAGCGGTTTGGATGCTCGCCGACCATGCACATGGTCCGGGTTCGATCCCCTGCCGAGGCACTCTTTCAACTCGCTAAGCCCGTAGTAAAAGCTGGTGAAGAGAAAAGGTTGGGCATGAGGCTAACAACCTCCTCCTGTAAAATTAACACTGCTACAGAGACTTCAAGCCACAAACTTGAAGCTCTATGTTCCACTGGAGAACGTGAAGGAAAAAAACCACCCTTAAAACAAACTTGCCAGTTAATTTTCTAGAAACTTTTCGCTTACAATACATACATATTTTCAAGAGTTGGTTTGTCAGGATTAGATTTGTTTTTCGGGCTTGACCAGGGATTGATATCAGTTAGAGAACCGTTGAAAACCACTAAGGAATACTGGACAGCTGTTTCACCCTAGTTTGGGAATCATCGACAGTATGCATCCACCAACAGGGTTCGAACCCAGGAGCTTCCGGTTACAATGAAAGCTCGTATACCATTCAGCCACTGAGACTCGATTCAATGGCCAGTCCATGAATTCTACCATCTTCCAATTCGTGATTTAGCCCGACCACCAACCAATGCCCCAGTGGGTGCGTACTGCCGATGGTTCCCTAACTACGATGAAACAGCTGTCCAGTACTCCTTGCTGGTTTCCAGTGGTTGTCTAACTGATATCAATCCGTGGTCAGTATAAGCCTTACAGACCAACCATAGAAAATTAGTCTGATGCTCGCCAGTGACCTGCTACAGGACGGAGTTTCCTGAAGTTCTAGTGAGAAAACGTTACCAGTGTGGTCCATCCAGTCAAGTGTGAGGATGGATGTCCCACCGATGATATTGGTTGGTGGTCGTGCTAAATCACAAATTGGTAGAAGTTAGAATTCATGAACTGACCGTTGAATCGCGTCCCAGTGGCTGAATGGTCTATGAGCTCGCTTTTCTTGTAACCGGAAGGTGCTCGGTTCGAACCCTGTTGGTGGATGCATACTGCCGGTGATTCCCAAACTAGGATGAAAAATATATATTTACACTTCAGCTGCCTCGTCGCCCTGGTGTTTTACCTCATCATGATACTCTTATAATATGCCTGTCGATGACAAAAGTATGTTAGATTTTACTCTGACTTTTATTTATTAAAGATTATAGGTTGTATGCAGCTGATGAGAACCAATGAGAACGAAGTGAAATGGATCCATGTTATTCTGCACCAATCTTCGTTATTTCTTTGTTAGGATTGTTTTTCCTCTCGAAAGGAAGAAAATGAATGTTACTCATTTATTATTTACAATGCAGTATAAACTGAAAAGTACTTAAGAAAATCCTAGGTCAGCTGAAGGAAACAAATAAACAATGTCTGTTTCCGTAAGAGCTTCTATATATATTTCATTGTTCCTTTTGCTCTAAAAAGTTCATGTTTTTTAATGTTTCACATCATTGGAAGCAAAACAAAGAGCTTTTTCTTAGACCCATCTTTGGTGTATATTTCTGCTAATTGAAAAATATATATTTATATCTTAAAAGTGCTAATAAGCTTGGTAACTGCATTGCTTCTTAACCAAATTTTGATTCCAATTTTTACATCTCCCAAACTGGTGGGTGACACGTAGGTGGAAAAATCAGTAACATTTTTGCGAATTTCTCTGAATTGCCATTCTACTTGAGTGACACTGTTGAAGAGCCTTCACGTTAAATATGTGTAATGACCAATAAGTAACCAAAAAAACCTCTTATCAAAGTGTCACATGACCTGCAGTTCTATTTATACTAACACTGAACGTAGAATAAAGTATTATAAAGTAGGTAGATTAATCAGATTCTTAACTCTGTCACAATATTGACTTCTTTATATTATCGCTAGGATTCTTTCTCGAAAATTATGATGGACAAGAGAAAACTATGTGTATCTATCAAAAAAAAGTATTTTCATCCACTTTGTTAATTTCCAATTACAACAGAGTCAATACATTTCATAGCGTAACCATCATTCTATTCTTTTGATATGTCTTCTCTTCATTCTCTAAAATTTTCAGGCAACTGATTTTGTGACTGTCTGTTAACACGCTTATTTTAGGGTTAATTTCTTCATAAATTGACATCACAAATGGAAATCAAAGTCCTTTGAGCATCTGTTTTGTCCTAGACACGTATTCTTCAGCAGTGCACATCTATGAACATATAAAGTATCACCTTCAAGATGATCAGGTTGTAAGGAGAGCATATTACACTGTCGACATCGGCTTAGAATGTAATGGTTATCAGTTCCATCTTCTCAATGGTGATACGCTCACAACTAGCCATATCTTGATCACTAAAGATTATCTCAACGTTGAAATACGAAACATTACTTCAATACTAACAAACTCACATTCATATTATTACGTTTATATGGATGTATGTATGTATATGGACCTATGTATGGTGAATGTTTTATTCACGTTGACTAAGTTACACAACTTACACCAACTCTATGATCAGTTCACCCTCAAAATGTATCTAAGACTATCCAGTGTCTCTGAATCTGCTGGATGTCATCTTTTAATCAAAGAAATAATGAGTTGTGCTAAAGAACCATACGAGTGAAGTAGTACAGTGATTATTTAGGTCTTTTACAAACACTCTAACTATCATGTTACGTCGTGAACATCAGATAAGGCATAACCACGGATAAACTAATACTTTTTTCACCAATCGTCTTCTCAAAAGCTCACTACGTTGGAGATACGCCTTGCTGACGAGTGCCAGCTAGCACGAAACCTAGGTCCAAGGCTTCCTGTGGCCGATTGCCTCCAACTATCTAATATCATCAAATCAATGTGCACCGTGATAGCGAGCCACCTAACATGGTGGCCACATTGCAAAACTGACTGACAGAATTCAGTCCTCACCAAAGAAAGGGTTAGACACGTCACACTAGTTACTAGTGTCCAATCAAACTACCCACTACAGTCCAACAGGAGGTCAATCGCGAGCTTGAATAGCTCAGTGGTAACGTCTCTGACTTCAGCACTGGGTGACGCGGATTCGAACTGCAGAGGGAGGGACATGAACTCCTTTAAGATTGCAGATACGACTTGCTGACGAGTGCCAACTAGCAAGAAACCTAGGTGGTGTCCAAGGCTTTCTACCAATTGCCTCCAACTATCTAATACCATTTTCTTTTGAATATACAAAAACTATTACCTAATATCCAAAGCCCTATTATTAAGATTAATAACTCAGTCATGAATCTCTCTGAGGTAGAATTTATGTTCAGCATAGTTTCCTTTTGCCTAATAACCTCATATCAAAAAGCACATTCCACTCGGAAGCAACAAGTGGGTCGTCAGTGCGAGGATGACATGAAGGAGATTGTGCAAGTTGGAGGAAATGAGAGAATGCGGGCAATCGTGGAGGCAGCCGCCTGAAGAGGACAGCACCAAACAAACAAAGTAGAAAAGTGTTGTTGAAGCCTTATTTTCCACTCGGAACCCAAGAGAATAACATTAATAATGTAGGAAAAATACAGTTACTGAATTACTATTATTATTATCATGTTATTCGCTCACATACGAAACTGTTCCGTCCATCCAATTTCTGAATCATTATCTCCTTCATTTCCTTCGATAATTTCAACTGGAATCAAACCGAAAAGAGCAATTAAAAAAAAGAATAAAAGGAAATGCTAAATCTAATTTTATTTCCACTATTAGTTGATTTATTTCAAAGTTCCTTTTTTGTCCTGTAGAAAAATATTTTTATTTTTATTATGTGAAATCAAACTTCTCTTTGACTTCCAAAAACTATTCGGTTTAGTTCGTAAAACAGAATCTCATCTTTCATTTCGTGATGGATTGAATTAACATTTATATTCTTATCGACTAACATTTAGCGCTCTTTTTTCACAATTTCTTCTTTTAACTTAAAAAGCGCTTACTGAAGACATGATAGATGACGGACGGTTGAAAAGTGTTCAAAACAAAATGAACTTTCTACATTCATTAAGAAAATGAGGACTGATTAATGAAAACAAAAGGGAACTTGATTCAGTAAATTCCTTTGCATTTTTGTTGATATCGGACTCTGTGATGGAAATCAACTTCTAAGCGTAATATCTGTTGATTTGAGTTGACAAGGTTTTTAACAAAAGCGACATTATGAATGATTAGAAGCTAATAACTTGCGAAATATTAAGTTAGACGTATTAATAATAAGAGTCTATCTTTCAAATAGGGACTTTTCCAGTGAATCACGCTACAGTTGTGAAACCTTTCTTCTTCTTATTATTATTGTTTCCTTTAATTTCTAGAGGAACATAGGGCTTCAGCCGTGCGTCCCCATTGCGTTCGGTTCTCTGCTAGAGTCTTCACCTGGCTCCATGTCTGCTCACGTGTTTTCATATCCTCTTCAAATGACATCCTCCAAGTCACCCTTGCACTGACGACCAAATCGCCGCTTCCCTTTCGGGTTCCACTCGAGCAATGGCTTGTCTAGTGATGTCACTCACTTGATGGTTTCCTCAGAGTATGGCCAATCCATCTCCATTTCCTTCTGCCTATTTGTTTCACAACTGGTTCCTAGTTGGTTCGCTCATTGCCAGAGATCTCTGTTGCTGATCTTTCCTGGCCATCTGATCTTGAGTATTGAGTGAAGACAACTTTTATTGAAGGTCTGTAGTTTGTTCGAAGTGCCCTTCGTGACGCGGTGCCAAGTTTCTGATCTGTATAGTAATTGGCACTGACTTCACATAGGAGTTGAAAATCCGATTCTGATATTTCATGGCGAGTACTGTTGACTTCCACACAGACCTGAGAAAAATGAAAGCTTGCCTTGCTTTCCCGATCCTCGCTTTGATATCCTCATCAGTTCTGCCTGTAGTTGAGACGATGCTTCCCAGGCAGGTAGGTAAAGGAGGTTGTTTCTTTCAGGTTCCTTCCATTTATGCCGGCTGATTGTTGTCCGTTGCTGTTGCTGTTGGTGGTGTTGCCCAGGAATATTCATCACCTACCTCTGTCTTCTCTATGTTCACCTGAAGTCCTATCTTTGATGCTTCTTCTACCAACTTGTTGCTTTTAAACTGCATATCTTCCAGTTTGTGGGAAATCAGACATATATCATCGGCGAAGTCCAGATCCTCCAAGTTTTTTGTGTGAGTCCATTTTACGCCTGTTTCCTCATTGCCCGCTATTTTTCGCATTATCCAGTCTACTGCAACCAGGAAAATCATTGGCGACAGTAGGCAGCCTTGTCTTACTCCTGTCCTCACTTCGAAGGATTCCGTAAGTTTCCCATTGTGGATTACTTGGCATGCAGCATTGTTGTACAGCTGTTGGATAAAATGTATAATTGTCGGTTGCACCCAGTAGTAGCGAAGTATTTGCCAAAGCACTTCTCGATCGACGCTATTGAAGGCCTATTAAGTTCGTGAAACCTTTATCAAGCTTTTACTTTTTTGAGGGGATGAACACTTTAAGACCTAAATCTGAATATGTTTTAAGTTCAAGTGACTTGGAGGTGAGATTCGTTCGAAGAATGTCAAATAATGTCTTCAGTTTTAGGGTCAGTGTGTCATATGCTGCTCTCTTGATAGTAATTAGGGAGATTGCGATCAGGTAAATATTATGGTCATCAAGATATCTAATAAGATCTGACTGAGGAGAGTAATGTATTTTAATTTTTTTGAGATATTACGAGAAGCCTGTCAATAAGATTCCCAAGAACTTGGTCTCCAGTTGAATGACGTCCATCCTCAAGACACTTTCGCATCCCTAAGGAGACTGATGTTTCATACCTCTGAAATTCAAAACATGATGTCATACATATACCTTGTGGATGAACGCTGGCAAATAATAAACTCTAATCCACCGCATACTGTGAGTCAACATCTATCAGAGTTTTTTGTCATTCAACCCTCTTCTTGGCCTATTCCTATGATATAGTTTCAGTGGTTTAGGAAAAAAGTCAAGTCAGTTTAGTTCAGACGTTACTTAGACATGAGAAAAATCTCCATTATGGATAAGGTTTTATTTTCATAAATCACACAGTGTTATACAGTAATATTAACTGATGACGTTTCGAGCACAAATTATTGCTCTTAATAATATCAAGTTACTCACACAACTTTTTCCTTCATTAATATATATGTATGGAATTGACTAGATATTTGAATAAAAATCAATATGAGTGTTATAGATCGAATACAGTTAGATGGGAAATAAGACGAGTGTTTTTATAGTCATAATAAGTAACTTGTTAGAATGTTATAATGTACGTGAATTGAAATAGAAGTTTTAGATTATTTATTATCCTCTTCTGATTTGACTGGGGGTAATAATATCTTCCATATTTCTGGTATTTGCATTGAGTCATTTCTGTTGCATGTGTTGGGTGTAGATTCAATGAACCAGGATTCAGTGATCAATCTCTCTCTCCACCTACATAGATTACTTCTTAGAATCTTAACCCTCTCCCACCCTATTTTGTGGTTGTGTGTTATTGCATGTAGTGCAATTGCTGAGCTTTTTTCTAAATTACTTATCCTCTCTGGGTCAACCATTCTTAGCTTAGTTAAATTCTTATGTTCCGACAATCTGACTACCCCCGATCTACTAGTTTGACCTATATAGTTGACCTCACAGTCATTACAAGGTATTTTGCAAATTATATTATTTTGTTTAATTGGGTCCACCGGGTCTTTTAGGCTACAGAGCTTGTCTCTGAGTGAGTTTGTAGGTTTGAATGCCACCCTAATTCCTGCTTTATTTAGAGTCCTACGTAAGGTCTCAGATGTCCCCTCCCTATATGGTATAACAGTAGATGACTTATATTCTCTCTTATTTGTGTTATCATTACTAGTTTCATAATTATTTTTATTTTGCTCTTGACTTTTTTCGATCTTCCTAATGAATTTTATGGGATAGTTATTTAACACCAACGCCTCTTCTATCTGTTTTATTACATCATTTAGGTCTTTTCTTGTGCTACTTAGAGCTACTGCTCGGTTTGTTAAACACTTAACTAAGCCTACCTTAACAGTTAACGAATGAGATGAATAAAAGTCTAAATATCTATTAGAATGCGTTGGTTTTTTATAAACGCTAGTGTGTGAGTAACTTGATATGATTAAGAGCAATAATTTGTGCTCGAAACGTCATCAGTTAATATTGCTGTATAACACTGTGTGATTTATCAAAATAAAATCTTATCCATAATGGAGTTGCACTCTACCACAGTGCCCAAGTTTTATACTTATATCAATGAGAAAAATCTCTTTGTCACATTCAAATGGATATCATTCAACAGTATCCGAGATCTAATACTTTAACTCAAACTAACAAAAACGTCGACCTCATTTATTTCACAACGAATATATGAGAATGTATATACCAATAGTACACAGTTAAACATACTTGGTCTAATGAAACATATAGCTTCTGTATGATTACCAATTTTTGTTTTATCCTCTGAATCATGAAGTTCTACGAAAAAGTACTTCTGACTCTAAAAGAGAACAAGAACACGAGAAGCATAAAAAACATTCAATCATTCCTATCTGTAAATGATTTGTGTCACAAGCCTAATTTCTACTGGACTATTTGAAAGAAAATGGAAGAAAGGTTCCCATTTTTAAATCATTAAACATTCTGAATAAATCAATCGATCAAGCGAAAGCTTTTAAGCTATTAAATATGGGGATGTTCAACTGAACATGGGATTTTTAGCATTTACTGCTTATCATTCAATAACTTATGAATACCATTCATACCGAACGTCCACAAAGAATATCATTTCGCAAGTTTTATTCTCTAATACTATACAGTTTAAGTGGTATACGATTAGGTAAACTAAATTTAATTTTTTGTAGAATATTTCTCAGATTGCAATCAAAAATCTCAGAAGAAACGATGGAACAACTGCAAAGTCCATTTACAGAAAAGAAACCTGGAAATATCTCCATTACAACAGATTCTGTCCTATGAGATATAAGCGTGGATTAGCAATGACACTTTAACACAGAGCCAGGAAGTTATGCTAGCCTAAGAAGAATTAAGCTTTGCTGAAAAATGCTTAGGGGAAAATGGGTATCCAAAACGATTTATCCAAAATATAGCAAAGAAAAAGACGAGAAAACGAAAGATCCAGCTGTTGAAAAAAAGTAATTGTTCATTTATCTCCCATTCAAAGGAGAAGTAGTGTCAAAAACGATTGGCAAGAGAATGAAAGGAGTAATAAAAAGATGCTTCTCTGCAGCTAAGTTCGTAACGCTATACAGCACCACATGCTATGTAAGCCAATCCAAACTGGATAAGTACCTCTAAATGTGTTTATCAATTAACGTGCACTTGTGGGAGCAAGTACATTGGAAGGACAGAAAGAAGGACTTCTATCTGGTTTTCAGAGCATATCCCAAGAAACTTATGTCTAAAAGAAAGCAGATATTCACAAAGTGCAATTACCAAACACCTTGCGGATATGGGTCATTTCGTCGAGATTTCTAAATCTTTCAAAATATTAAGCACATAAAAGACAGCAAATTTACTACGATCTGCTGAAGCGATTGCAAATCAAACATACCAAACCAAACTTATGCATACAGAAAGAGAGTGTAATCAATCTCCCACTCCCTTGACAACTGTATTTTGATTACATTGATTAGTCAACCATATTAGTGATTTCAACTCACTGAACAAGTTTTCAACTTTGAGTTCCTATGTAAACCTACATGCTAACACTATTTATTCGATTTTTCTGTTTTCTATCTTCTCCTCCCTCTCCTTTTCTGTTTTGAAAGCATATAAATCAAAGGTTACTTAAACCGAAATTGTAATGCCTATATTTTGGATGCGTTGATTTCATAATGTTTTCTCCACTACTATTCAAACATTGAAGTATGTTCTTATCATTCTCGTTTATAACCATTGTAATTTCAGGTAGTTTGCAGCTGACGAGAACCTGTGAAATAGAATGATATCATTTTATACTGCAAAGCTGGTCTTTCTTTCTTTGTTTTGATTGCGTTGGCTTATTTCATTGCATTAGACTTGATTACCGATGTCATGTAGTTAAAGTTTACCTTGAAACCTAACCCCTCATAAAACTGAATTTAAACGAAGTAATATCTTTTTATAGTGTATCACGGGTTGCTGTCAGTTTTCTGACTATTACTTTTATAAATATTCAGTATATAAAAGTGGATGATTCTTCAGAAAGTGGTCTGGTTACCATCTTGTTTCTCTTTCTTCATAAAAGTTCAATGAGATGGACATTATTCACTGCATTTTGGCATCCCTCAATCGAAAGTGAGTCAGGAATCAAATGAAGTAATAAACTAAATGTCAAATCTTTAAAAGCCCAAAAACAAAATTGAATTTATTGAATTCTGTATTGCTTATATTTTGGTTTAACTATCTCTGTAACTTTTCCAACACAGTTTTGTGTCAGTCAGGTAAGAATGCTCGACGAGGAAGACAATGGCTTGGTGTGAGAAACATATGTGTCAATGTTGGTGTTGTTTATCCGAATTGATCTCCATTGGCGTGTGACAAGAAGGTTGTCACTGCTTGATCGTGTGCTGGTTGACAGAATATTGTAGAAGTACGATCAGAAACTTTAACACAGACTAACCACTGTGGATCTGTTTCGTTATCGCTTGAGGAATACACCGCGTTGCCTAAACGTTTTCTGTTGTTCCGCGTCGGTTACAGTATTAGGCTTAATCTTCTGGAACTAGCGATAGGTCCAGCATCTCAGTGATTTGGATATTTGAGAATATGTCTCAGCAATCCTAGTTATTACATTTACAAAACACCGTTGACTGGCTTTCTCTCCTTATCTAACACTGTATGTTTAACTTAATTGTTACTCATCATGTTATACCACATAACACAAAATATAGAATGCAGACACTTTTAAACAAAGATGTCAAGCCTCATTATATCTTCCACTTCTAATGGAAATGTCTTATAACTCTGAAGAAGGGTGAAGTGAACGCTGTCTAATGCTTTCAGCCGATAAGTAGGGAAGTTGGAACACTTTGCAGACAAGGATTAACAACTCTAAAATGTGACAGATGAATGAAGCCTTTTTGAAATTTTAAAAGAAAGACGAATTATTACTTTTGAAGTAACGACGATAATATTTCTTCGTAAGCAGTCTTATAATCTAATTAAAAACGTTATTTCAAGTACTTTGAAGGGAATAAAATAAACAATCGTTCGGGGTGAAGACAAAAAAATTACTTGACATCTCTGCATAAACCTACCTCTCTGTCTGGTTTTATTTTAATCTCAATTGCTTTTCTCTTTTCACCAATACTGAATAAAACATTCTCATCAATGGCTTCATAATCTCCAGATTGACATTGATCTCCTTTCCAACCTTTTGCATTGCCATCTCTAGTTTATATCAAAGTGTTTATTAAAGTGAAAATACAAATATGGAATATCTTTCCATGATGCAATATTATTAAAATATTTACGCATCAACAGAATGAGTAACTATACTGTATAACATTGATATAAGAAAAGAACTTGGGCAGTGTGGTACAGTATAACTCCATTATGGATAAATTTTATTTTGATAAGGTCTCACAGTGTTATACAGTAATATTTACGGATGACGTCCCCAGCACAATTTATTACTCATAATTATATCAAGTTACTCACATAAATGTCTAACTTCGTTTGCATAATTCCATTACTTTTCATCGCTTGATCTGACTGGTAGCTGTATTTTTCATATCTATGAAGTTGGTGATGGGTCATTCCTGAAACCTCTGCATAACGAGTCGGTAAAACAGTGTAAAGAGAGTTTTGAATCTATCGAAAAAATAAGAGATCTTAATGTGAATGGCAAGTTTATGATGTCTTTTGATGTATCCACCTTGTTCACTGATGTACCGTTGATCAAGACGCTGGATTTTATGTGTGATAAGATTACTAAGCGAAACATAGACATTGGCATTTCTGTATCCACTATGAGTTTTCATTTCTTATTCAATAAGGAATACTATTGACAAACTGGTGGTGGGGCTAAGGGTTCCCCATTAGGTCCAGTTTAAGCTTATGTTTTCCTTGCTAATTTAAAGGATAGTTCGCTGAAGAGTGTAATCAGTGAGTTAGAATTCTACTGTTATTACATAGGTGATACATTTCTGCCTATGAAAAACGGCAATGAAGCAATGAACATCCTCGACAAGTCCAATGATGCACATTCAGCAATAAACTTCACCAAAGAGAAATAAAGTAATGACAGTATCTCATTCCTAGACGTCTTCCTGTCCAGGAAAGATGATGGCACACTAAGAAGGAGTGTGTATAGGAAACCTACAACAACAAGTCAATGCACTCACTTTTTGAGTTTTGCACCTTTGAAATATAAAGGTGACCTGGTAGAGTGTCTGGTTCACAGAGCTAAGATAATCTAATCAAATGACACCCTCAATGAGGAGCTTAAGATTATTAGAGGATTACTTAGTAGAAATGGTTATCCAGACAAGTTAATTGAGAAAAATATGAATTTACCACCAAGGCGAGTCAATATGGCAACGGCTCCAAAACGCCATTGTTCATAAAACTGCAGTTCCTCGGTGACAACATTAGCGAAATAGTAACACGGCACCTAAAGAATGTGGTTAAAAGAGCTTTGAGTGCAGTAGAGGCACGTTGTCTCTTCACTATCATCCCTATTTTACTTTCAATAAGTAAGGATAAACTACCCGATATCACCTCCTCGATATGTATCTACCAGTTTGACTGCAGCCGTGGAGCCAGCTGCATTGGGCATACAATTAGGCAGGTTCATCATCGTATTTCCAAACATCACCTCACATGGTTAAGCAAGATCTATTCGTAGCTCTGTTTTAGCACACCTCGTAGATAGTAAGTATAAAGTTGGTATTAATAAGCATTTCAATCTGTTCATGGCATTCCAATCAGTATTAATTTCGTTTCACTAGTTCGTCTTCTACGTACAGCTGAAGTCAAAGGAATCCACCTGAAGAAGTCAAACATGTGTGTTCAGAAAAAATTTGTACAGCCACTTTCCTTACCTTCACCACCATTGCGTGGGTGTATAAACCAGACTACTTCGCCTTCCCTGCAAAACTATAATTTCCCTAATTATTTTATTATTTTTCTCACTACTTCATCTTTAATTACAAGTTACTGTTGTCTAAATCGTCCATATCACTACTTATCCGACTCATCTGTATTGCTGAAGCTTCGGTCTTCGAAGCAGAAAGGCCAGATCTCTATATACAGAAAAAGTTCGTTCAACCTCTCCATTTTTCATGGTCTTAATCCCTCTATGCTAAAATATGGTAATCACTAATCATATTTTGGCTGAACCTATTTTTCGTTTTGTTTATTCACTTTATATACTCTTCCTTTATTATGTCAATTGTAACTTTTACTGTTCCCGCTCTGAATTGTACCCGGTATTATTTCACTTGTTCCACTTGTCATTCTAGATCAACTTTGTTTTGTTACTTTAAATTCTATGTTCTCAAATTTCACACAATGTTACACAATTTTAACCCTCGCCCACCCTATTGTGTGATTGTGTATTAATGCATGCAATGCAACCGCTGAGGTTTTTTTCTAAATTACTTATCTTAATAGGGTCAGTCCTTCTAACCTTAACTAAACTCGTATGTTCTAGCAGTCTGAACACCCCGTTCTACTGGTTTGACCTATATAGTTGACCTCACAGTCATTTCAAGGTATTTTGTGAATTTTATTATTTTGTCTAATTGGTTCAGCATGGTCCTTTGACCTACAGAGCTTGTTCTACCTGAGTAATTTTGTAGGTTTAAATGACACTCTAATTTCTGCTTTTAAATAATCCTAAGTAGGGTCTCAGAAGTCCCTTCCTTATTCGGTAAAACTGCAGATGTCTTATACACACAGGTCAAACCCGTAGATCGGGGGTAGTCAGATTGCCGGAACATACGAATTTGGTTAAGGTTAGAGGGATTGACCCCCACGAAGATAAGTAATTTAGAAAAAACCATCAGCAGCTGCACTGTATGCATTATCACACAACCACACAATAGGGTGGAGGAGGGTTGAAATTCTAAAAAGTAATATAGTCAGATGGATAGAGTGGTTGATTACTGAACCCTTGTTCGTCGGATTTACAGCCAGCTCATGCAATAGGAATGACCCATCACCGACTTCAGAGATATGAAAAATACAACTACCAATCAAATAAGGAGATGAAAAATAGTGGAAACTTGTAAACCAAGTTAGACATTTGTGTGAGTAACTTGATATGATTATGAGTAATAAATTGTCCTCGAAACATCATCAATAAATATCATTACTGTATAACACTGTGAGACTTTATTGAAATAAATTTTATCCACAATGGAATTATGCTGTATAAGAGTTATGCTCAGAAGAATTTGTTGATCGAATGAAAAAGTAAAGGTTCCGTTGGTGTTATGTAGCTGGAGATAGTTGGCATAGAGCCGTGGACTTAGGTTTTACCCTTATTGATACTCGCTAGCATGTGTACATCTGCAACCATGTCGGAAATGATACCCAGTCAGAGATCTGGATTAGCGTCACCCAGTGCCGCAGTCACAGACATTAACACTCTGGGCTACTCTAAGTGATTCAACAAATCCCCTGCTATTTCATGAATAATACTGAAATTTGTCATTCCACCAAGTACAAGACTTTACTTTCAATTTCATCTTATTGTAGACAATGGCTTTAAACAATTAGACTTCACCAATGAAACAATGCAATTGATTTTCGTATCATCATTTGGGTGCCAGGTTGATGTTAGAGATCCTTGCTGGTATACTTTCATACTACATGCCTCGTAAATTCAATTTCTGATGACTTGTAGATGGTCAGACATTAGAACACCTCATTAAAATGAATTTCGCCTATAAGTAAAAATGAACAAAGGGCGGGTGTCTATCACAAATGTGATAGTTCAGTGACGAATTTTGCACCCCCTTTTCTTGAATAGTGCCAGTTTTTCATATTTTCCCATCAATGAACATCTCTCTGACTATTTGATTCATTGGGCAAGCAGTAACACGTTCAGTTAACCTATTGATAAAATTGCTTTTTATACTACTAGTTACCTCATTACTTTACAGTGCCGTAGAGTTATTAAAGGAGAAGGAGCACCTGTTAAATGCTCCTTGACTTCGTAAGTTCTTCGACTAACATTGTCTTACGTGTGAAATTGATGTCACTGCAATCACTCTATAGTTAACAAATCTTTCAACTCGGTGTAAATTTTCTTAAACATATCTGCTACGAATCCACTATTAGTCAATCATTTCAGTAGCTTATTCGGTCTTTAGTAATTTTAGATAAGGAGTTCGAAGTACCGTAAACTGCAGACACTTTTCATTATCATTAACGTACCACGTTAACTGATGGTGGTTTATTATTATTATTCTTGTTTCCTTTAATTCCTAGAGGAACATAGGGATTCAGCCGTATGTCTCCATTGCGTTCGGTTCTCTGCTAGAGTCTTCACCTGGCTCCAAGTCTGCCCACACGTCTTCATCTCCCCTTCACATAACCTCCTCCAAGTCACCCTTGCACTGACGACCAACTCGCCGCTTCCCTTTCGGGTTCCACTCGAGCAATGGCTTGTCTAGTGATGTCACTTGATGGTTTCCTCAGAGTATGGCCAATCCATCTCCATTTCTTCCTGCCTATTTGTTTCACAATCGGTTCCTGCTGGGTTGGTTCGCTCCCAGAGATCCCTGTTGCTGATCTTTTCTGGCCATCTGGTCTTGAGTATTGAGCGAAGACAACTGTTAATGAAGGTCTGTAGTTTGTTTGAGATGCTCTTTATGACGCGCAGTGCAAGTCTCTGGAGTTGAAAATCCGGATTTTTTCCATTTTTCATGCTGAGAGTTGTTGACCTCCACACAGACTTGGGAGTAGTGAAAGCTTGTCTTGCTTTTCCGATTCTTGCTTTGGTATCCTCGTCAGTTGGTTTACAGAAACGTATTCATTTTATCATAGATTTCATATTAAGCTAAACTCATCTTTTCTGAGAAATCCACAGGTTGATAAACACTTTCAAATTTTATTGTTTTTAGAAAGTAGCATGCGTAAAAATGTTGCCTTTAAAGGTGCTTAAATTAAATATATCAAGTCATCTCAACTCAAATTTTTAATGCCTGTCTGATCGATTTTCTTCAGCATGGCTTTCCTTTCCATTTTTTTTCATTCACTATTATACTAGTATTCACAAACTGTTTTTTTTTCAAATACACTTGAAAACTATTCATTCCGCTCTGTTAAACACTTAACTACGCCAAACATATCTGTTTGTCAATCATTACTGCAGAAAAGAAAAAACTTGGATGAATTCCAGAATATTTATAGTTTGGTAAGTAATTTACTTCCAAGCTTAATAATCTCTTATTTTGCTTATAGAGACTGATAAAGAAATCTCGGAGGAACGAGAAGAACCGGATAACTGTCCACTCCTTTAAACCCGTACGATAGTGAGACTATGGATTTTGCACTGTTTGTGCACCTTCGATCGAGTGTAGATGTGACACACGAATTCCTAATACATGCCTTTATTGGTTTGTCAGATGAAATTAGGCAGTGATGTGATCAGCCATAGAACGTACAGCATAGAATCGATCATAAATTAAAGGCTACTTTTAAAATTCAGTGAAACAATTAGTCAAATAATTATATATAAATATAATTTGTATAAATTTTACCTTGTGACAACATGTATAGTTTCTTTAATTTCACAGTTTCTTTGTCGTATTATCACAACACTTATTATAGGTGTTTTAGGATTTGGATAGTAATGGCTTGATTGTAATTCAAAATGACTGATTGCTAAATAAAACGAAGAAGTTATAGTAGTGAGATAATATATGTGTAAATAAAACAGGCATTGTAGACTACTCATAAAAATCTTGGTGAAAAACTGAAATTGTAATGAATGAAATACAGACTATTTATTTGCTATCCATAAGTGGCATTCTAAGTGTTTTTTTATTCTAATCATGAGATAGCTGTACTGTAGGAGTTCAAAGAAGTTCATCAATACAGTTGTTTCTCAGTTATTTCGCCTTCAGCTTTCAATTTGTCTATCAGTACTGATTGGATCAGATTGAGGACAGTTGGGCTTTCAAAGAACAAGAGACCGTCTACTGAGTTCTATTATCATTTCACATCTCTAAAGTCCCTTCAAACCAACGTTAATAAATATGACCATGGGCAGCCGTAAGTGTTATATTATCCCTCCACTATTTTGAGCAATGTTAAGAGCAGTTTGGTTCAGTAGGCCAGTTTAAACAGTCAGCAGGACAGATGGCCACACAACAGTCATGAGAGTTATCTCTAGTTGAAGCTAACCGTATTTGACCTTGAAGTCATTCAAGCAACGTAACTAACTGGTTTCCTAAAGTACCAGATTCCAAAAGTAACTATTTGCCTTGGGGAGATCCACTAGAACTTCTCTCAAGTTTTGAAGGATCAGCCATCAATAGAATAGGTAGTTTAAGAGTCCCTTAAATAACAATTTTGCACCCCTATATTCTTAATTTATCATGTGTTATTTCATCAGCAGATGTCCTTGAACCATAGTTTCTCAGTTTGTATTAATCACTAGCAGAGAGCACTTTCGACATACAATAAATTTAGAAAGTCAGAGTTATCAAAGATGTGGCAGTAAATGGGGCTTTCTTTAAGCTTTTCAGACTAAGGTTGTAATAAAGTAAAACTACTCAGCTAGAAATGAATGTTCATTAATTGACTAAAACAACTAAACCAATTGTTTGTTAAGTGTCATTTTATGTGTTACGTACATAATTATTAATTGGCAATCGAAGTATTCATCTACAGATTTTATGTGTTAATATTAGTGCGTTCTTTTTTTTCTCTCTCTCAGATGTTATCTCAATTTTACAAAGTCATTTTCTCCATGCATTCCATAGAATCTCAAAATGTGTACTTTGAATTATTTGAGTGAATCCCGATTATCTGACAATGAGTGCATAACAGTTATAGCCAACAGAAGGCATTCAACCCAAGGGTAGATTATAACTGTATATCAAATATACTTGTTATTTTTATTCCTCTATACGTATTCCTTTTCACTAAGTTCACTTTACTCCATTATTACCTTTGTTATGTGTCAACCTTTTGTAATTTACATTAAGCTATTTTTTAAATTTTTGATTATAGCTTGATTCCACACCGTATTTTTGTTACAAGTATGGAATTTTCAGCATGTGATGTCGGTAGCCCAAATTTAACAGGCCGACCATTATTATCGGGTGTGCGTCGGCAGGGGATCGAACCCCAGACCATGTGCATGGTCGGTGAAAGTCCTAACCGCTGTGCCACCGCGTTTGATTACAGTTCACAATTTAACCTATTTAGTGATAGAATTAGGTGCATATGTACTGAAGATTGTATTGAATATGAAATCGAAGATCATAAAAATACCCTGCTACAAAATGGTTATCCTACTAATTTTGTAAAGAAGAATATTTCCAAAAGAACTAATAAAACTCAGCGTTGTACGGTGAATAAGAAAAAGCGTTATTTTAGAGTACAGCTCAAAGGTGATACATGCAGTAATATATTAAGCCGTAGGTTGATCAGATCAGTTGGAAGAACTTTCATTACTTCAGAACTAACCATCAGTTTCCCAACCAGACCATTACTGACACAGTGCACCAAAGATAAATCACCAAAGATCGTCACATTAATGTGTGTATACAAATGCAAATGCTCATGTTGAGCCAGTTATATAAGTCGTACTCAGGGGAATTTATCTTCATACACTCGTGAACCTGTTCCTCTTTGGCATGGAGAAAGTGTAAACAAATCAATAAATACTGCTATTTTGTCTCATCTAGTAGATAGTGAACACCACATCAAAATAGATGAGTCATTTAGGGTTGTATATCGAGTACCAAACAATTTGCCTAAAGACACACGATTACGTCCCTTAGCTATAGCGCAGCTATATAGATTGATGAGGAAAAACCTGACCTATATGTGCAAAAGAAGAACATTCATCCTTCTTGTTTACCTCGGCCTCCTATAAGGTCAGCAGGAACATAATCATCCACACTTCCATGTCATGTTATGCCTTCTTATTCTTTTTCACCTTGTTCACTTTACTCCATTATTACCTATATTATGTGTCAACATTTTGTAATTAACACTAAGGCTCTTGTATTTTTTTACAGTTCACAATTTAACCTCTATTTTATTTTATCACTACACTTGATATTTGTCAGTCAGTCGTTGCTTGAACTTACAGTGTTCCCCATGTTTTGGTATTTGTTTGCGATTATTTTGTGATAATCACTTTCGTCGCTTACCATTGAATATAACTCACCCCCCCAATCCCCAATGAAACTTATATCTTGTTGAATAGAAAAACATTAGTATGTCACCTTTTCGTTTGTTCACACTTTCAAGTATTGGTTTTTTTGTATGGATATGGTTTGATTGGTTGAAGGATTTCATCATGATCTGATATCAGTTAGAGAACCATTGGAAAACCTGGGAGTACCGGAGAGCTGTTTCGTCCTAGTGACTGGGACTCTTCAGTGGTACGCATGGGTTCGCCTAGTAACCAGAAAAGTCTTGGGTTCGAAACCCGGTGGGTGCGTACTGATGAAGACTCCCAAAAACAGTACTCCCAGGTTTTCCAATAGTTCTCTAACTGATGTCAGCTCATGATGAAATCCTCCAACTATTCAAACTTCACCTTATGTTCTAAGATGACTGCACATTTTATGTACATTCATTTGACAATATTAAATACCGAACTATCACTCCATATTATACATATACCACAACAATACAGTTTCTGATATGATTTTCATATGCCTTTAATGACTGTTTGTATTATTATAGTCATGGTTTTATAACTGTCGAGCCTGAGGAAGAATTTCTCGAAAACAATTATTCACTCCAAATCATCTTGTTTTGATTACACTTTGGGGATTTCTATACTTGTCCCAAAAAGTAGATAGTATTAAAATATCACATTTTCGCCACATTCTATTACAATTATTCAAATCCGTATAGTCGCACTTACTGTATCTGATACTATACACTGCAATCACGTTATGAAACATTATTATTTTTGATGTGAACCTTAGTAGACGCAGCGACGGATCTCTCAAAAGATCCATACACTAGAAACGTACATGGAATGGACAATTTATTAATTTTTATAGTTGGGTGCCTATCTCCAGCGAAAAAAAGAACTTAATTCATTCGCTCTGCTTTGTATAAGAAACACTTGTAGTTCTGACTGCGCTGATTCAGAACTTGCCTTCCTATAAGCCATGCTAGCAGAAAATGGTTATCAGAACCGATTTATTCACTGAAACAGGAAAGATAAACAGTCCAAACTGGTCACTGACTCACTTCCAAAGAAAATCTTATTCATGAACTTCGAATCCAAAGGTGATCAAGCTTCAGATATTCTCAAAAACCATCTCTCTAAAGCAGTCAGTAAAACGTTCTTTGCAGCAAAATTACAGGAGACGTTCGCCAGTCGCAAGTTGTTCTCCATCTATGTAAAAGATAAGTCCCCGCGTCTGGCCGCCTCCATGTGCATCTATCAGTTCACCTGCTCTTGTGGAGCAAGGTACATTGGCCGTAGCCAGAGGACGCTTTCCACATGTCATGTTACGAGAACATGTTCCAGCTGCATGGTTTTACAAGGAAGAAAGGAAGTGTGTGCAAAGCTCTTTTCGAGAACACCTGATCGATTCCTGTCACTCTACCAACCCTGACCATTATTTTAAAATCATCTACCGAATCTATGCTAACTTGCCGCGTTTTCGTTACAGACTTCTAAGGACAGCGGAGGCCTTGACCATTCATTGCTTTAAGCCAGATCTTTGTGTACAAAAGAAGTGTGTACAACTCCTACTTCTGCCTTGCCGTAGAGGGATAGATATTTATTTATTTGTTTATTTAGTTAACCTATGTACCTTTCCCTCATTACCACGATTATTATTACTATTATTATTATTCTGAATTGTTTCCGCTTGTCTCACTTATCATTCTAAATCCAAAATTATTTTTACAATATTGAATCCTATCGTGTCAAATTGCACACCATGTTGTGTAACATTTTATAATCGCCTATTAATCCTATAATTATGCACCCCTTCCCAACATCTATACACCTTATGAATTATTCAATATATGACACTAATTGTTTTCCTACTTGACATTTAACTATGGTTATAATCACAAACATTTTAATTGCATTTCATACTAGTATTATTATTTCATGTATTCACACCTTGATCTAATTCCACCACCGGATATAATTTCTTAAAAACCATATATATACGATAATAAATTCGTTGAAAAGAGTCCCTCCGCTGAATATTGTGTTCCTAACATTATTATTCAGCTAGATTACACTAACCAATTAACATTCTAAGGTATTCATATAGATTCTTGTATTTGAATTTCTAATTTGAGTTCGAACCGGAAGGTCCTGGGTTCGAACCCCAGTGGACGCGTACTGCCGATGATTCCTAAACTAGGATGAAAGCGCTGTTCAGTACTCCTTGCTGGTTCTCAATGCTTCTCTAACTGATATCAATCCTTGATCAAATCGTAAAAACAAAACTAACCCTGACAAACCAACTTTAGTAAATTTGAATTTCGCATTTTTTTTCTCTACCATGGAAACCATTATTGATATAAGTATAAAACTTGGGCACTGTGGTAGAGCATAACTTCATTATGGATAAGATTTTATTTCGATAAATCACACAGTGTTGTACAGTAATATTAACTGATGACGTTTCGAGCATAAACTATTGCTCATAATCATATTAAGTTGATATGATTATGATATGATATGATTATGAGCAGTAGTTTATGCTCGAAACGTCATCAGTTAATATTACTGTACAACACTGTGTGATTTATCAAAATAAAATCTTATCCATAATGGAGTCATGGAAACCATTCCTAATATTCTACATGTTCTTGGGCGTTTAGTTTTTGGAAAGCATAATATTATTCTGGTCGAATTCCTTTTTTCAGTGCAAAAAGAATACTAACTAAAATCTAATAATTAAAATTTTAAAAATAAAAGTTATCACCATGGTGAGGATAATAAACAAGATAAACAAGAGTTAAGATAATCGAGATTAATTACAAGTGACAAAGTTATCTATTCAACATTTTAATTACTTTTTATATTAAATATTACCGAAATTAAATTTTTGTTTTAATTTTATGATGTTTAAATTGAGACATTTATGGCAATTTGATCAAGATTTATTATGGATTTTGTCAGTTTAATGATATTTATATTTTCTTCTTGAAATTATTTCCGCTGTGAATATGAGCTTTAAAAAATTGGTCTGTCCCACTCTCAACTTATTGCTAGTAATTAGAGTTACTCTTAATTAGACCACAGAATCGAAACAACTGCTGCCATGGACAACCTTTTACTTACGAGTAATCCGAATTGAAGGAAAAGCCCATGAAGTAATCCTTTTTTCATCCTTATAGTTACATCGAGTAGTTTTTAGAAACATTGAATATCAGTAACGCCACAAGGTAGCTATCCGTACACTATGCTCAGTTTAAACTCAACTTCGATAGTGGCTGAGTTAGGAAATCGCCATGATATACAAGGAAGTGGAACCCTTGTATTACGTTTAATTCAGTCACAGCCAACAAAGACTGATAAGTAAAATAAATTAAAATAAAAGTCTTGCGCATAAACACGCTAGATATTAATTATAAATGACAAGTGCAGTTACCTTCTTCAGGAACTAATAGAACTCGAGCCACAGAAGGATTACCCAAATCACTTGGTGATGCAACTGAAAAATGAGTATTTGCTTTTGCTATTGTCTCCAGTTTCTTATCAGAATCTACATTTAAAACGACATAAAATTCCACTTGTTCTCGTGTATATTCTTCTGTTATGTTTGTATTCAGTTTAACAGTAATTTGTCGTTCTGTGTCAGACTTTCCGAAATGCTGTAAAAAAAAATTTAGTCTGATTTTGTAAGAGATATAAAGACCAGTATGATAAAACTAGTGTGCTAATATTAAACGCAGAATAATCTAATCCAATTAATTATTATAATATTATTATTGTTCCCTTGGGTTCTGAGTGGAACATAAGGCTTCAACAAAACATCTCCACTTCGTTCTATTTGATGTTGTCCTCTTCATATGGGTCTACAGTTGCATATAATCCCTTATCTCCTACTAGCATGATCTCCTCTATGGCATCGTAGGACTGACAACTCACTCGTCGCTTCCCATTCGGATTCTACTCGGGGGATGACTTGCATTGCGCGCGATGTCATTCGATGGCCTCCTCAACGTATGCCCAATCCACCTCCATTTTCTCCTACATATTTGTTGAGCAATCAGCCCTTGGTTGGTTTGTTTCTAGCCAGAGTTTCTTGTTGCTAATTTTCTCCGGGTAGCCAGTTGGTCTTGATTATTGAGTCAGCGAATGCAGCTGTTGATGAAAGTCTGTTACCTGGTGGAAATCCTTTTCGCGACGCGCGTGTCAAGTTTCTGACCCATATAGAAAAAGTGACTGACTTCACATTTGTGTTAGAAATCCTAATCTTATTCTTTATTCTGGCCAAGTGCAGAATATTTCCAAACTGGTTTCAGGTTGACGAATGCATACATTGCCTTTCCTATTCTGGCTTTGACATCTTCATCCGTTCCGCCAACTGATTAGATAGATGTGAAATTCATAACACTCTTTCTGTGGTTCATGATCAACCAAATATCTAACTGCCTCTTGCAAATTATAAAATGACAGTGGTGACTGCAGAATTCATAAAAAGAATTTCTATGCACGTAAACTGAAATTATACTTAGAAAAAGTAATATATTACTCTTACTTTCACTACTGAAAGTAATGAAATCAACAGAAGCAAAATTTACTCAAATATTCGTGTACAAATTAGCATTATATTCGGCGTTACTTCTGTCACGAGCTAAAAGTCATAGAGCACTAATCAGTCGCTTAGTCTTACTTCCATGATTTTTAGTGATGCACACCAACATCTAAATCCAGGATAAAGCCATGAATCGACAGGTTCTCAGTTGTGAATATAATTATTCAAAATGAATTGCAGTTCATTGTTCAGTGTTTTTTAAATTCAAGACATTTTGATCCTTGCAAACAATGGAAGTGACACTCAGTGTAAATAGATTATTCGAAAGCAGTCTTTGCTTTCTCATTCTGTCAACTCTTTTATTCTAACCATCCCTCTTTACTGCTCCCCATTAATCTTTCCTGGACTACTTAAGAAAGACTTTGCTTTGCTGCGTAGGGCACTAAAAGCCGTTAGTAGGGGAAGTGGGATTTCGTTAAACCAACTGGTTAACACCACTGTGGATAGACATATAATGTCATGTAAGAAACTAGCGAATTCTATATTTTCAGACCCCGAACACTTACTTTTACTTTACTTCGGCTATCTCCTACGGAAGGATGAGCCGGCTTCATGAACATCTCGAACCATCGTTTGTAAGAGAGTTCATGAAGTTTCATGGGAATTTGGTACGAGTGATGTCCCCAGAATCGCTCGGCCTTTTGTTTGAGAGTGCAGCTCTAGCCTTTACACAACCAAGTGTGACCTACAAAGCAGTAGGAGTGGAGTAGGGAGTCCACTATCCATTGGCAGCCGGTGACCGGAGTTCGGTTCATACGCCTTTTTGAATGGGACCAGACATCCAGGACATCCAACAAGCCCTTTGTCCATACGTCTGCCGGTGAGCTCCAGTGAGCTTCATACGCCAGTCGTTGGAGGTTTGGAATCAGGGTTTAGCCATCTCCCCTAGACTGTCATCCAATGGACAGTCAACCCGGTGAAGAGCGCCGGGCATCCGCTTTCGCCCTCTCACTTTGGTGAAAAACACCTCCACCACGTGAAGGCAGTGAGTAGGACTTCCTCAGGAGAGGCTATGTAAGACGCCCGGTCATATGGGAGCATTTCAAGAGGTGTGCGGGGGGTGGCCAACCGGCAGCGCAAGGCACCCACCCCGACCATCCTGAGGCTTTGGAGGTTGGGGGCTCGTCCGGACCCCGAACACCCTCTCTATACGCAGCTTTCTCCTTGCATTTCATCTGGTAGAACTAGAAGCAAATATAGGAGGCTATATACCAGGACTACCAAGTACAAAAACTCCACAATACCTTATCTGGCACAGCTGTTATGTGATGAGAAATCCGTTAGGTATGACACGATCAACTTACTGCGGCACTCTAACAAATAGTTCCCATTAGTTTTTGTTCTCCTTTCTTTGTTGCTATTATATTGTTGCTCACATATTCTATTATACACTAATTTTATATTTCATATCCTGTGGTGCATTGTTTAAATATGTGAATGCAATGCTGTTCTTTTTTATTTCTTTTATTTCTCTTTTTTCTTTTTGTTGTTGTTGCTTTTTATTTTTAAAATCTTATAAAAATTTATGAGGTAATTAGATGCAATATTGTAATGCACGCTGAAAATTCCATACCTGTACCAAAAATACTGTTTGGAATAAAGCTATTATTATTATTATTAAGAAATACATTCATATGATTATTTCGGTCACTCAGCAATGTGAACACATTTGTGTTATAGGCATGCTATTTGTCTGTGTTATATGAAAGCCTTCGTATGATATGAATGTTTTTCTTGTGTTGGTTTGTAGGGATTTGATTGGTTTCAGGATTTCATCATGAACTGACACTAAGTAGGTAGTTACCTGGGTTCCAGTGGGAAGTCATGACCAGTAGGATACAGCAAGTCTGGTGTGAGGACAAATACTCGCCAATGACATTGGTTAGTGGACGTGCCATATCATGAATTTGCAGAAGTTGTAATTCATGAGGTGGTCATTCGATCGAGTTCCAGTGGCTTAATGGTCTACGAGATCACCTTGTAACCATAAGGTCCTGGGTTCGAACCCCGGTGGGTGAACACTGATGATGAGCCCGAAACTAGGACGAAAACGCTGGCTGTCCAATACTCTCTGCAGGTCTTCCAATGGTCCCCTAACTGATGTCAATTCATGGTGAAATCCTGAAATAAATGTTTTTGTCATTCATTTGCTTTCCAAGTGAAACATAAGGATTTAAGCTTGAATTCTAATGTTTCAGTAGAGGTGGCAGTTTTGTTTTACAGGATGCGTATGCTAGACTCAAACCCGACCTTTCCACTTTACCAGGCTTATTATGAACTAAGTGAGGTCTAGGAGCACGTCGGCTGGGAATCAAACCGTATCCATGTGCATGGTTGGCGAGCGCTGTACTACTGAACTACGGGTGCACAAAATACATGTGCAATGTTCAACATTAATTCATCTTTTGAGTGATACCTTCATTGATTTAGGGTTCGCTCCTTATTTATCGTTTAATACTCACCAAACGCCTTATGGTTCTAAGCAACCATGACCTACTGGTCACGAAGACAGTCTTCTGACTAGACAGCCACTGGAATGGAATCCAATGGTCAATGAAGTCTTACTGCTGCTGCTTTATGATGTAGTTAGCTTGGTGTAACAGGATGAACCCCTCATGTGCGTCGGTGGAACAGTGGTTATGACTCTCGCCAACCATGCACATGGTCCGGGGTTCGACCCCCTGCCGACTCACATCTGATATCTATAGTCGGCCTGCAAAATTTGGGCTACCGATATCACATGCTGAAAATTCCAAACCTGTACCAAAAGATACGGTATAGAATCAAGCTGTAATTAAAAGAAATTAACAATGAACTACGCAATATCGATCGTTTCACTAAATTTTAGTCTCATGAATTATAATGTATAAATATACTCACAATATATCCTTTAGGAGTAGGCATATAGTGTAATCCAGGGAGAGCAGTACCAGGTCTAACTTCAAAAAATACAGTTAAACCCTCCTTATCAGTTACATCATGTTTGCTGCCATTATTATTATTGTTTACTTCATTTATTTCATCATTCGGACTGGTTGACTCTTTTGAAGTGTTCTGCAAAAGAAAGAATAATTTGTAGGGCTTTATCACTGTTAAAAATTTCTGTATAGGTAGAATTTTTTGTTTTAAAGTATTCGATTTTTATTATTTCTGAAAAAAAATAAAACATTCCTGTCATACTATACTCGCTAACAAAATGAAAAATGTATGATGCCTAATAAGTTACACTTCGGTACAATGGAGAAGGAAACACGTTACTTAAATCTTTATAAAGTAGCAAGTAACTAAATTTATAAAATTAGCTTAAAAGTCATATCTCCTAAATCAAAAATTCAACTTTTCCGTTGAGTAATATAATTCTGATTAGTATCTAAAGAGGATATAAAAACACCTTGTGTATTATAATAAACGCTTTTGTATTTCTCAATGAATGGAAAACAAAATGATATTGGTTTTACTGACGTTTCGCTATTTAGTGCTCCTGATAGCTTTATCAAAGCATTATTAAACCAGAATTTACAAAATCTCAGCATATATATATATATAACAACTTCATCATCGTTCATCAACATGGGGTAATTTTTGCGATGTCAAGCTGGCCAATTGGTAAAGATAACAAAAAACAGGTGTAGATTGTTGGATTTGATAAGTGTGTAAAATTATAAATGCAGTGTGTGTTTACATAATGAAATTGTTTATCACATTAATGTTGATTTCGTCAATTCATTGGGGGAGGGAGGTGTTGTAACCAGGTCAAATTCTGTTTCAGTCCATCATTCCTATTCAGACAATTTGGATTCCATTTGATATGAAGTGCTTCCGACGATATCAGACGTTCTTCGTGATTTCTGAAATGTTTCCAGATTATTTCAATATTGTCAAAATCAATTTTGTGGTCTGATCCTATGGTGTGTAGACCTATGGCTGATGAATTTTCAAGCTTTCCTAGTTCACTAACTGGATTTCTCGGTGGTCGAGCAGATGCCCTACAGAGTTCATTTCTTCTGATTTTGATTTCTCGCTATGTTTGTTTGACGCATATCGCATCACATTCCAAGCATTTCATCTTGTAGACACACTTAGATAGAGAATCTTTAGGGATTTGGTATTTTACATGGACAAGGTTGCTTTGCAGTGTGTGTGTCTGATGTTTTGAAGAAAACTCCTGTGTCATGCTCATTGAGTACTCTTCCGATATCGTCTGACGCCTCTGATCTATATGGGATGACAACTTTTGGGGTCCATGTCTTCGCAATACGTTTTCGACCATATTTAATGTCGGTGTTGATTTCGTTCATGAAGTCTTTTGGGTAGTTATTTTGTTTGAGAGTCTCAGTAATGTTTGATATTTATTCTTCTTTTTTCCTTCTCATCAGTTATCAGAGAGTATGATCGTCTAAGAAGACTTGAAACAACTGATACCTTTGAGCTGATGGAGTGTGATGACCTGAAGTCTAAATATTTAGTGGAGTGTGTTTTCTTCTTGGATATAGATATATTAAAATATCCGTTCCCCTCCCCCTTTTTAACTAGGCGGTCTAGAAATGGTAGTCTACAGACGCCTGATTCTACTTCCGAAGTAAACTAGATGCTGGGGGGAGAAAGACTGTTCAGTTTTTCCAAGACTGAACTGTGTAGATCCCGTTTTAACACAACAAAAACTCCTAAGTATTTGAAAGATGCTTACGAGAAGTGATGAATTGTTTCTGGTTTCTTTCGCTGGGAGGTTCAGAAAATTTATTTTTGTCTGACAGTATATCCTTCACTTTCTTCCTCTACATAGTCTTTTTGATCCAAAAGAACTATACCAGCACCTGTACTAGGATAAGATTTTCAAAAATCGTTACTATCTCTCAACCTTTTTAATTGTTCAGGATGTCTCTTTGTTAGGTGATTACAGTCTTATATTTTTGTATTAAGATATTGATGGCTATACGTGAGTACAGAACTTATAGATTCTCTGATAGCCATTTAACCGGCTAGAATAAGGCCAGCCCCTACTACTGCCATGGCCCTCAGTAGAGACTATAAACTCATGAATTTGTACGATTACCTTTCCTAATTCTTCTGACATTCAGTTTATTTTATGTTGATGCTGTTCAGCTGTAATTTATCAATATTATGGATTTGATGTTATTTAAACAACATTAATGTTTTTCATAACACTAATTCATTCATTCATTATAATGTATATATAACTGTAGAACCTGATGATGAATTTATCGAAAAGAGTATTCTTTGTTCCGTGTCTGTTCTTTTGTTTAATATGCATTAAATTATTTCTTCAAATTACTTTCCTTTTTGAGTGTTGTATACAAAGGAGAATCGCGAACGAGAGTGAATTCTTTTTAGTTTGTAAAACCGACGTCGTTATTCCTTTAATTCATTTGTTACTAGTGGATTGTGACTTATTCCTCAGTATCTCCCTAATATATCTTCTTGATGTAATAACTATTACTAATTAAATGCTATGAAAGTATTTTCGGAACAGAAATACTTAATCAGCGAATAGATTCGGTGTTTAAGACGAAAGTGCAGTATTTACAGTCTTTAAACAGAATCCTTTCAGATAACAATGAATTTTTAAAGCTGAAAGCTTTCACGGAAATAAATGTTTTGCTAATTTTCTAATTATCATCTGCAGTGTATTTTGAAGTCTGAAGTCACCTGGTGAATGGTGACTAGCAGTGGAATCCAGGATAACGTGCATTTCGTCCTATTTGGGACTCGTCATCTGGATATACCTGCATTCCCTGGTGAGTGATAGTGTTCCCACTGAGGCTCGAACTCAGTGCCCATAGTTTCAAACACCAAAGCGTTATCCACTAGACCACTTGGGCCACGACAACCATCTCTTGCGCGAGGAGTCTTATTGATTATTTAATTCAATTTTGATTTTCCCTTCGATTGATTGAAGTTTGTTTATAAGTTTTAGCTTCCTCTGGATTCTTTTTATAAACTTATTCTGTTAGAGTAAAGATGTCTTTCAGGTTTCTTGACGCACTTCAACTGAGTTTTGAATTCCTAAGTAGTTATCTTCAAAATGGTTGTGTTGCTCATCTGAGTTAGTTGTAGTCTTGTTAATTTATTTATTTCCCTAAACGTATGTGTCTTGACTTGTTATCATTAACAGATTTGTTTTGTATATCCAAAAGGAATTCATCATGGGCTGTCTTTTTTCAAGAGCCGTTCAAAAAAGGCTACGTGATTACTTCTTACTGTATTCGTTTGCTGACTTGTTTGTTGTTTACGCGCAGAGAGGAAAAACATCGGACTCGTAAAGAATTTTGTTATGATTGTATGTGAAAAATTAAACTTAGCTAGTTATCTAACTAATTTAATATATCCTTTTTAAAAATTTCTTTTACACATTAGAAAAGTGATATCTTACATATTTAATTTACAGTTAGCTTAAATAGAATAGATACTTTCTTTTTTAACGCCTTTACATTCCCAATGGAACATAGGGCTTCAAGCTGGAGACTTAAAGTGTCGGTAGCAATGATGTTTATTTTTCTACGGGATAGGGTTGCTAGCCTCATGCCCAACCTTCCATTTTACCAGTCTTGGTACTGGTTTAGCGAGGTAAAGGAGTGCGTCGGCCAGAGATCGAACCCGGACCACATGCGTAGTCGATGAGCATTCTACCACTGTGCCACCGACTCAGAATAGATACTATTCTAAGCCAATTAATGAAACACTGGAAATCGTGATTAATGTAGTCAAATGCTGTAAAAATATCACTGAACGATATAACTTCACAACTGAAAAGTAGTGCTTGTAATTATTCTTATTACTATTGTTTCCTTTGATTCTAAGAGGAACCAAGAGCTTCAGCCGTGCGTCTCCATTGCGTTCCGTTCTCTGCTGGAGTATTCACCTGGCTCCAAGTCTGCCCACACGTTTTCGTCTACTCTACACATGACCTCTTCCATGTCACCCTCGCAATGACAATCGACTTGCCGCTTCCCATTCGAGTTCCACTCGAGTGATGGCTTGGCGTGTAATGTCACTTGATGGTATCCTCAGAGTATGGCCAACCAGTCCACCTCCATTTCTTCCTGCCTATTTGTTTCACAATCGGTTCCTGGTTGGTTCGCTCATTTCCAGAGATCTCTGTTGCTGATCTGTTCTGGCCGGCCATCTGATCTTGAGTATTGAGCAAAGACAACTGTTAATGAAGATGCTCTTTATGACGCGCTGGCCAATTCCCTGAACCGTATAGTAGCACTGACTTCACATTGGGGTTGAAAATCCGGATCTTATTTTTGTTGCTGAGTACTGTTGACCTCCACACAGACTTGAGAGTAATGAAAGCTTGTCTTGCTTTGATATCCTCGTCAGTCCGCCTGTAGTTGAAACGATGCTTCCCATGGCGGTATGTAAAGGAGGTTGTTTCTTTCAGGTTCCTTCCATTTATGCTGATTGTTGTCTGTTGTTGTTGTTGCTGTTGGTGGTGTTGCCCAGGAATCTTCATTACCTCTGTTTTATCTATGTTCACCTGAAGTCCTATCTTTGATGCTTCTTCTGCCAACTTGTTGCTTTTCACTCGCATATCTTCCAGTTTGTGGGAAATCAGACATATATCATCGGCAAAGTCCAGATCCTCCAAGTTTTTTGTGTGAGTCCATTTTACGCCTGTTTCCTCATTGCCCGCTGTTTGTTGCATTATCCAATCTACTGCTATCAGGAAAATCATTGGCGATAATAGGTCTCTGGATCCACTATCAATGCTTCTGCTGGGATTCCATCTGGTCCTGCTGCTTTTCCAGCTTTTAGCATCTTGATTGCCTTCAGGACTTCTGATTTCGTTGGGGGGTTGGTGTTCACTGGTGGCTTTGTCTCCGTTGTTGGTATTGTTGGGCGCGTTATAGGTGGTGGTCGATCTAGGAGTCTTTTGAAGTGTTCAGCCCAGTGTTTCCTTTGCTACACTTCTTTGGTGAGTGACTTTCCATTGTCATCCTTCACAGGCCTAATTTCTGTCAAACTTTTGCCCGATAGGTACCTAGTTGTTTGGTAGAGTGTTGCGAGGTTTCCTTTGCCTGCAGCTTGTTCTGCTTCACTTGCCATGGTTTCATAATACTGCTTGTAAAGCAATAACCAATTATACAACAGATTCAGAATGACATTCTTTTAATTTGTATGCTGCTTAATTCAATCTCAAATGTTTGCCTTATTGTTCGCAGGTATGACAATAGTGTTAACTTTCAAAATATCAGTAACCATAAATTTTGGTTTTCACGGCTTTCATCATTCTAAAATTCGGTGAGGCGCAAATTTTCCTCCACCTGGAGCTTCTGAAAATTTTGACACAACCGAAACTATCCTGTGCTTATGTTTAGTGATAAGGATGAAGGAATACTCGTAATGTTTGTTCACCTAGTAATGTTGATGTCTTAGGATTGAAAGATCCCACAAGTGTAATTTTGGAAGAAGTGTAATTCATGGTATTTATAAGAACTGTTTAGCCAAAATTCGCGTAATTAAATTATTAACAAATAATAATCATGGTTTAGTCATCTTATTCTGTAAATTTTTCTTCATAGTGTGACGAGAACTGTGTTGTTCTAAAGTAACAAGATTTAGTCAATTATAGTTGATCAGATACAGACCTACCAGTTTATACTTTGACAGTTTGGCTTAAATAACTATGTGTGAAAAACTTGGGCACTGTGGTAGTAAGTAGTTCCATATTAGTTTGTTCATTAGATGCATCACACAGTGAAACAGTATTATTTACTGGATGACAAGGTTTCGAACAAAACGTATTGTTCATAATCATATCGTCAGTTATAATCACACGACTTCGAAACTTGAGTTTTATAGTTTTCTTTGTCCTCTCCTATTTGTCGCAGAGGTAGTAGAATTTTCCAGATATTCGGATGGACAGGTGTTGAATCATTCCTATTACATGTATTTTTTGCAGTTGATTCGATAAACAAAGCTTCTGTTATCAATTTCTCCCTCCACACTGTGACATTAGATTTTAAGACTGTCATCCTATCCCATCCTATTGTATGGTTATGTGTAACTGCATGTAGTGAGTGGTATAGCTGAACTATTATCTAGATTTCTTATCTCATTCAGGTCAACCAACCTAGATTTTGCTAGGCTTAATGTTCGGCTAGTCTGACCGCCCCAGTTTTACTAGTCTGACGTATGTATCTGACCTGACAATCATTGCAGGGTATTAGATAAAGGCTCCACAGGATGCCTTAACAGACAAATCTTGTTTCTAATTGAGTTTGTGGTTGGTTTGAATGCCAGCCACTTTTATTCCTACCCCAGTAGGATATATGGTGTTGTTAAAGTTCATAAGTCAAGATACCCTATTAGGCCTATAGCTGAATTTAGAAATTCACCTACTTACGAATTATCTAAATATTTAGCCATGGTATTAAATCCCCTTAAAAGCCACTCGAAATCTAGACTATGATATTCAAGTGTTGGTTTGTAGGGATTTGATTGGTTACAGGATTTTCATCATGCGCTGACATTAGTTAGAGAACCATTGGAAAGCCTGGGAGTACTGGACAGCTGTTTCATCCTAGTTTGGGACTCTTCATCAGTACGCACCCACCGGGATTCGAACCCAGGACCTTCTGGTTTACAAGGCGAGCTCGTATACCATTAAGTCACTGGGATCCGATCCAATAGCCAGTCCATGAATTCAAACTTCTGCCAATTCACGATATAGTGCGACCACTTGGCAGTGTGTTAGGTGAATGACTGTCCTCACCTTTCACCTTTTGCACCCTACTGGTCACAGCTTTCCACTAGAACCCCAACTAACTGCCTAAATAGGGCCAGGATTGTAAAATCGAATAATTCTACGCGTGAGGTGATATATAAAATATGCTTCTAGTCTACATTGAATATTCTGCTGACTTGTCAAATGGTACCTAAGTTACCGAATACCTCTTTTTTCTGATCTCCTGATATGATACAAAAGTTGCCCATCTCCTCAATATTAAGATAATGCATTATATATTAAAATTAAAGTTAACACTCTTTCTTTTTCAATTTAAAAGTTATTCTTCACCAAAACTGTAGACGTTTTACTGATATATTCATCCTTTTTTATTATGAAGTACCAATGACATTCGTTTGTTGATACACATTTGATTACTGTAGCGTAGGCTTTTACTGCTTTTATCCAAAATAATGTAATATTGGTCATTATTGCTCTCTAATGTAATTCATACCCTTAGTTTTTTTATATAATGAGCCATAAATATTGGTTTCAACAAATAAAAATGCCATTTCATTTGAGTTTCAGAGATAAATCGATTTACAGTTATGTCTGACAGGAAGAATTGCCTCTACTAACCTGTGGACTCTTATATCTTTTCTGATTGTTGAACGTGTACTACTTAGTCTTAAATCTAATACCTTCATAATTAGGTAATTGAATTTAACGTTATATCTCAGACAGATTACTGTGGAGACTGTATTTAAGAATTAATTGTACCGAAATCCATACTGTTAACTAAAAACAGAGTGAAATATGCTTCACACTAACTCCTATGAAGTTCACGAAATCAATATCAAGGCATTTTATTAAAAAAGCTGTGAACTTACTTCTTCTATAACAGCTTCATACTGTAAATTTTCAAAAAGAGACTCTCTAGAAACCTTGTCATGAAAGTCTCTACTTGAATAGGATCTAGAGTAAAGTAAATCAATATGAATAGTAAGATATTTTCTATTTACTCAGAATATTTGTAATAAAGGCTTCATTATTACAAATAACCCTAAATATCTATCTATACAGTTGTTAATTAACTAATTAATCAGTTTTCTTCAGTAATAAAAGATTTAGAACACAGTTTCAAGTTAATGAGGCCATATCTTTTTGAATTGAACGAGTTTGTCATAGGATAGATTTTTTCCTTATCAAATGTTATTCACAAAACATAATATTTAATCAATTTACTATTTTTAGAACCCTTCATTATTCGAATGATAAGGAGATATTACCGATTCATTGAATCCCTATAATTCTGTCTTGTATAGAATGACTTCAGGGTTCAAATGTTAATAATACATGTGTAGAATATGTAGCAATCCTATTCTTAAATTTCATTTGTTTTATTCTGATTACTGACAAAGAAAACGCGTTTTATCTTTATGATTATACATTGCGAACGTCTAAAGATTTCTACTTCTCGAGCCTTATGTCCTTATGAAAACAGGATATTAACCAATTTAAAAACATCTAGTAAGCTATTTTCAGGATTATTTAGAAACACAAAGTGCTAAGAAGCAATAAACAGTTGTTTGTTTTTCGTATGACGAGAACTATCTGGTTTCAAAGGAAAGTCTTATCTAAAAAAATGTTTTTACTTATACGGATATAAAGTCGATCTATTTATCATGATGGTAGCATATTTTCAAAGAGTTGCGTTCTCGAACCATGGTACCGAAATAATTTTTGAGACCTATTTTGCGATATATTTAAATATATGGCTAAGTGGTGGAATACTACTCGCCAGTTACTCCAGAGGTCAAGGCTCGATTTCTGACCAGCTCACTCATGAGTCCCGCCTAGTCTACTAGACAGTAGTGAGCCGATAAAGTACAGTAAATTGGGATTTAGACTATGAATACCACAGCACATAAACAACACCGTTTCTTCTGAAGTTCGAAGCGTGAAGCCCTGTGATCCACTTGAAACGCAAAGGAATGATATATATATATATATATGTTTATATACGGAGACTGAATGCAATCTCCGGTAGTGTGCCGACTAAATAATTAACTACCATAAACTGTGCGGATAACACTGGGTATCCAGTCGTATTCCTCTTTCATGGATGCCATATGTTTTTAGCAAGTGATCAGATATCACACAGTTAAGTGAATTTTATAGGTGGGTTACATTGTTAACCACGTAATTTTCTTTTTAAAGTGTAAGTTGGTCTGATCCTTTCCTCGTCCCATTTTTACTTTAAAGCCAATTTAGAATGCTTTTCGTTACCACTTAGTCTATAATAACCATTGTTCTTTTATACTCCTGTTTTATATCATTTCCACTATTATTTGTATTATTATTGTCTCCTATATTTGCACATCTTCATTGCGTCCGGTTCTCTACTAACGTTTTAAAATGGCTACACATCCGCCCATATGCTTTCATCTTTTCTTCGCATAACCTCCTCCATGTCAACATCGAGCTGACGACCAACTCGCCGCTTCCCATTCGGGTTCCACTCGAGTGATGGCTTGTCTAGTGATGTCACTTGATGGTTTTCTCAGGGTATGACCAATCCACCTCCATTTCTTCCTGCATATTTGTAGCACAGTTGGTTCCCAGTTGGTTTGTCCCCAGAGATCCCCGTTGCTGGTATTTTGTGGCCATCTAATCTTGAGTATTGAACGAAGACAGCTGTTGATGAAGGGCTGTAGTTTGTTAGAAGTGCCCTTCATGATGTGGTGCCAAGCCTCTGATCCGTATAGTAGCGTCATTTCTATTACATCCTGTTTATTCATAGCATTAACACTGTGACATGTAGAAATTTGACTTAAAAGTTAAAAAACCTAAGAGTACTAAATACTATTACCATTCAGTATTTATCTGGTACTTATTTTAGTTTGGGTGGGATAGATAAAGTTTACCTTCAGTTTTACAACACTAAAATTAGAGGAACGCAAAGAAAGTCAGATTTATAGGCAACCATTATCTGCCAACACTTAAACTGTATTGCTCACCTTAGATAGATGACGGATAAAATCACTTCTTCAACACCATAGTGTACTGTGTATGTATGCGCGTTGAAGAATACTTTGCCTTCATTATGAAGTCCTTCAAAGTTGTGAGAAATCAAATAATAATGATAATAATACCCACCGGTTTAACAATAAAGTTTACAAAATTAAAAAATATTTAATGTACAGTTAGTTTGATTATGCTAATCTACTCAACTCCTTTTAGGGATGTTAAATATATTTGCAAAGTGAAAGTCACATAGCATTCGAACAGCCATGCCTTCTCAATACATTTAACTTCTGTGAAAGAGTGAGAAAACGAGATTTAACTGAAACGCGTAATGTATTTGTGCAACACATTTTGGATATTCTGATAAGATATGGAAATTGTTGTTGGAGCTAATACTTATATATACTAGCAGTATTAAACTTGAGTTTGTAGGTGTTCACCTCCACCAGATAAATGGTGGTCTCATGAGAAGTCCCTTAGGTTCAACACGTCAAGTAGTGAGAATCTAGCTGTGGACTCAGTTGGGAAAGTTTACTTTTGCAGGTGGTACGTGAATGACGTTATAGTTATTTGTGATGGCACAGATATTCTTAGCCGGATAATTACAGTACAAAATAGCATGTCACTGACATACGCCGAAGAAAGTAACGACTGCTTGCCATTTTTAAATGTACTTACAGCTCGCCGAAAGGATGAGTAAATAAAACGATCTGTCTACAGGAGGCCCACCTGAATAATGCATTTCCTAAATCGCCATAGTTTTTGTCCAGTGTAAAAAGACTTCAGTTAAACACTTCTTCAGGTGCATTGCACACATATGTACAGAGGATATCACTGGAGAAGAAATACAAAACTTCACTAACATATTACTAGATAATAAATATCCCCTTAAATTAATTGAAGGCTGGAAAAGGGTCAGACAAAGAGCTTCATAAATAATGTTAACTCCCGAAAGGGATGTTTATACATCTTTGCAGTTCAAAGGCGACCACCAAAGTCTGACCACTACATGAAAACTCAGACAGCCAGCTAACAGAACCTGCTATGCAGCTAAAATCATTTTCATGAAGAGAAGAGAGATTGATTTTTTCCTGTAAACCCTCAGAGAATTCGAACGGTGGTGTCACATCCCACTGTTACTCAACTCACTGTTATGTGTGGTTGCACGTACGTAGGGAGGACCTATCGATCTCTGTAGGTCAAAGCTGCAAAACACATCCCTAAATGGCTGCAGGAACAAATAATAACATCTAATAAAATCAGTTTCAGAAATAAATGTCCAACGTCATCTATCGCGAAGTGCAACATACAGATGGATCATAAGCTTGAGTTCTGTAATGTCTTTAAACCCATATGTATAAAACAATTCTGAGTCACATACTTAAATTTGTTGAAGCCTAAGCCATAAAATGGCTTAAACCTGTTTCATGTGTTCAAAAATTATTTCTTACTACTCTGAACCTGATTTGGTAATCCAATTTTAGAACAAAAGTTCATTTTATAAATATCTGAACCACAGATCTAACGAATTTCCTGGAATGATTTGAGCTTCGAGTCAGACTATATCATTATAAAATTACTGAAAATAATCCTATTGTGCTTGAACTCTTTTTTGGATTTTTTAAACACTCTGAGATTATTTTAAGTAACTTTATAATAATACAAGTTTCATTTCATTCAACAGTACTTTCAGCACCGCTCTGTTTTATCCCATTTTCCTACCTACTGTAGATACTTTGACCCGTATTGATAAGAATTCTGATCCTTTACACTTTGTTGCCTTCTATATAAGCATGGGTGACAAGTACATGTGCGATCAGAATGTCCTGAAATATGTTACGCACATACACTACACACTTCAGTTAGATTACGTCTTCGTATTTTTCCTACCGAAAGGGAACCAATTGCTCTAAGCCATAAAATGTTTTTCAAACTGAATACATCTCAAATTGATCTTTATTTCTTGGCTTCTAAAACAATCAGAAACTAGTCCCTGCTATTTCTACCCAAAGTTCGCTCGTTAAACCTGCGTTTTTATTGGATAAAATGCGAAAATAAATAACCAGACAGACAAGCAAGTGTGTGTATTTCAACTTCTTTCGTGGCAGAGAGAAAAAGAACATGCGTTACCCCCAAATTACATATTGTCCATTATTTCAGTTAAACAAAATCTATGGTATAGGATTTACTATTATTGTTTTACTCTACAAATAACTAACATTTTATGAATAATTTTAAATTTCGACAAGTGAGAATAACGAATAAGATTTTGCTGATATCTCTTTTACAATGCCTTCAAAATGTTTTGAAATATAACTTTTAAGCCGAACGGATAAGTATTGTAAAAAGATCAATTTACCACAAGTTACAAATACAGTAGGAAACTGACAAACTCCCAATAAAAAATTTAAAGAAATCACATCCCCTTTCTTGCATCAAAAATCTATGCTCCACGAAACTTAGTTGTGCCGAAGAAACAATCAATTGCAAATTTTAAATTCGAAGAAGATTTAATAAGTGAAGTCTTCTAAAGACGCCTATCATTAGTAACTTGAAGAACTTTTCTACTAAATCTCTTCGCCTTAACTTTTTACGCACACACTTGTTCACCATTTATCAGTCCACTGACTCCTGTGGGGTCAAGTACCTTAGTTGTACCAGTGAGGTATCTTCTAGACGTTCTTACGAACACCTGCCACTATGGTTATAGAAAGATGAACATAGAACACCTAGTGGCTCATTTAGACATCCCATCATTACTTCTAATTAGACAATGTCGGCAGAGACTTCATTCAGTATCATATGTAAGATGAAGCCAGTCAAAATGATTTTGCTTTCATCTTCGTTATGCATTGAAGCTCTGGTTGTCTATAAGGCGGAAACGAAATTTTGTGTACAGATATGCTTTCTTAGGGTTTTTACTACCATGGCCTTAGTCTTCATTATCTTTTTTTTCTATCTGTTATTTAATGAATTCTAAGTAAACATTTCTCATGAATTGCTTTCAATTCCCTGTGCTCTTGTTCCGTATCATTTCCATGCAAATGACTGTTCATCATTTAATCAGTGGGTTGTACGTTTCCTCGATTACGTAGGATTATTTATTATTTTTCACATCACTGTTTCCCACACTTTCCTTGTTTCTTTGCTGCTAACTGACAGTAAACTATGGCCCTTTTAGTTTCTGAGTCAACTGACAAATGGTAATAAGTAATATCTATGACCTTTTGGAAAATTCACATTTCGTCTAATATTAGGTCTCCTCTACTTCTTCCCACAGTCAGAGATTTTATCGCCAAGTTGGTGAAGAACATCTCAGATATCAAGGACAGCCCTGGTGACAGTCACTGACATCCTCTGAAGACAACTTACATAATAATAAAAATAAATGAAGATAATAGGTTATAAATGATATATTCATTGCATTTTCACATTCTCAAATATCCATAAAGAATATGGCAGTCGCCAGTATTCTTAAATAAACCATACAACACATTAACACCAACAAGAATCCACCTAAACTAAAGGTCCCCATTGTTTTAAATGAAGTTGAAATGATTACTACTAATAATAATTCTAGAAATATAAAAAACATTTATGAAATAAAGCAGATTTACCTTGTTGTGTCTCATCTGGTGTTATAGTTTGTCTTCTTTTACAATTACTGAAACCAGATAGCCTGTTCAAATCTTTATGAAGAAATCTGAAGTAAAAGGAAAAATATATATTTGAGAAATAGTTTCGTACATTAGAGAGTACTTGCTAGTGTTTCTGTTGATTCAGTATTATGATCTAGTGGAGTTATCCTGGTTAAACAGTATACTTCTAAACTTTTTCTGAAAAATGATTTCTGAGTATTATCCAGATCTCGTGCAGTTCAGTCACCAAATGTATAAAGTTTGCAAGTAACATTTGAAAAGTAAACAGATAAAACGGATATAGTTCATTGATGGGAATATTTGATTTTGACGAATGTCAGCTAAATTCTACTTCCGAAGCATCATACTTTCATTGGAAAGGAGAATAAGTATACTAGTGAAAAGAAATGTAGACTGGTTAACTCCATTTTTCTACGTTGATTTTGTGTTTCCCATTGATCGATTATTTTGGACTGTAATGCTCTGTCTCTTCTGACATGTCGCCTACTAGTACGAACAGTTGGACGATGTCTAAAGATTAAAATGAAGTTATTCTGATTAACGGTGACTAGCAGTGGAATCCAGTAGGTCACAGTTCAAGCACAACCAACCTTAGCGACTTAGTTAGAAGTGCTACAACAAACTAGCTCATGGATTCGCCTGCTAGCCACTAACAACCAGAATAGTTAAAACTAACCTAAAATATTAGGGCGAATGTATTCATTCAACTGGTATGTCACTCACCATATTAGGCTTTTCTTAATTTATTGTAATTGAATAAAGCAAGAACAACAGTGGTTTCTGCATAATTATATGGTACCATTATTTATTTCATTAGCTTCTCATCAGCTGCTTACAGCCTAAATAAATTAGTAAGCTTATGAACAGAAAGGTTTGAACATATTTTCAAATTTTGCATAATGTCAGCTGACAGGAGGTCCAAAACTTAATTGAACAGTGTTCAGAAAATTACACAGATATAGTTTTTACCCAGAGAGTTCAAGTTTAAACAAAAATCAGTGTGTGCATACTGTGATAGAGGAGTTACGCAGTAGAGACGAGAGGCGCGTAAGATGAGAGATAAGAGTAACTAATAAATCGAGTGACAATGTACTGAGTTCAACTCAAATCATAGAAACAAGAGACAAGCAAAATTACACTATGTTAAAGAGGACGAGGTTAAAGCCGAAGATTATATAATCGAATGAAAAAGAGGGTAAAGATATGCAGTTACCAGGGTAAGAAAAGACTGATAACTGTTTTTTTCTGAACACCTAAAGTGGATTTCAGGCGTTTGGTAGAGATTGCTTCGGCAAACGTGAGGAGAACTGAGCTTTTTTATCTATTGATAATTTCACAGGTTCTTGCCATTTCCATCTCAAGGAGATGCCTTGTAA